AACAATTTCGACTTTCGATTTAAACTTTACATACCACGTTTTCTTCCGCTTCTTCCTCCTCAGACCCAGCTTCCGACCCTGTTTCCTCCGCCTCCTCAGATCTAGATTCCGACCCAGCTGATTCCTCCGCCTCTTCCTCTGAGGATCTTTCCTCTGAACTCATCTTATCCACTATCCGTGGAACTCTTTCGTTTATTGGAGTTTCCTCGGCCGAAATAGATGCTTGCTTTCTACACCCCATTTCTAGGTTAAAATCGACAAATCTTTAATCCAATGAAACCATTATCTACGAAATCGAAAAAGATAGCATTTCAACGGATCCAATTTCAACATACCTTCTCCCGAATTGCAAGTTAGTTGTGTCTAGTTGTGCGAGTTTTAGAGGGAAATTTCGTCACAACAGTTTGAAAGGAGAAGAAGAAATCGTGTGGCTTGCGAAGAAGAAAAAAATCGATTTTTACTTGAGTTTGGTCTGGATCATCCGCATGGGTCGGGTCAATAGCTAGTTGGATCTTAAATAAGTTGAGTTTGGTCTTATTTTTTGTCCTTTCAATCATTTTCGAATAAAAAAGAAAATCAAAAAGAAATTCATTTAGGCGGAGGGCGTTTCATAATTGAGTTTATAACTGAGGGTTATATGAGGTGTTGATCCGTGTGTTTTTGACTTGGATGAAATTGAAAACTAAAAAACCTTCAAAGCCCTTCCAGTTTCATTTTTGGGTGAATTAGCTTAATATTACTCTTGGTGTACATAATTAGGAGAGTAACATATATGTAATTAAATTTAGGTGAATAACAAAGAGAAGAAATAGTTGGAAAAAAATATCCTTATTTAATTTGGTAAGGAATGACAAAAAAAAAATTTATTAAGGAAAGTTCCAGCAAAAAACTCCTCAAACTTCTTGCCATTAAATACATCCTAATTTTTTATGTAGTAGTCGATGAAATTTGAAATCAAGGAAAGAATTGTATAGTTAACTATCTTTCTACTTTATACGTTGTTTG